ATAATCGAGGGCAAACTCCAATATTATGCTTAACCTGTAGTAGGTAATCGGGATTTTTTAAATCTTGGGAGGGGCGGGGGGTTCTTTTTGTTTATGTTTTGTTGAGTTGTTCTTTGGTTGTTGTTTTTTAAAAATGTGTTTGGATTGAACGTTGTGCTTTTACACGAGGGACATGATCTACTGAACAGGAACAGGAGATTTTGGTGGATGTCGCTAAATCCCCCCTCGCACGCACACACGCCCCCCCCCCCCCACACACACACACATACACATACACATACACACACTTACACACACACACACACACACATACGCACACACACACACACACACACACACACACACATCTACTTGCTTGTCACACGTGCACGCTTACACGTCGTCACGAAATGAGCACATATAATAATATAATAAAATAATATACACAATGCAATTCACAAAATATATAAATGGATACATAGTCATTTACATAACATTGTACTGAATATGAATCTACTGACATAAAAATAATATCACTAAATGTCTCTTTAAAGATTTTTAAAATTTAGACTCAGATGTTGTATGTCTCAAGGGTTGGGGAAGAGAGTACCAAACTGATGGAGCAAGGTGGGCAAAATCAGTGTCAGTCGGCCATTCCCGCGCTTAACAACTGTGACGATAGCGATGCCCGCCGCTGTGCCTGTGTAACTCGATTCCGGTACTTTTTGTATCACTTTATCTCGTTATTTCTCCCAATTTGATAAACCTAGAAGCCTGTTTAACGTCTCATTTTAAAGATCATCTTAGGACTAACTAGACGATCCCACTTTCGCAGTAGAAATCTCACTGGTGTTATAGCATTTACACACTTTGCAGTACAGGTTTTTGTGTTTTGTTCATCTAAAGTTGCATTTTAAATTATATTCCATTTTGGAGTTTACTATCTCAAAAACCAAACCCACGCTTTTCACTAAAGGTCTGTGCTTTACTTGAGACAGCAATACTTGAACTGTTTGAGCAAGTGTTATTTGTGCAAAGGGAAAATGTTATTGTATATATATTTTTTTTTAAGGGTACCCCCTCCCCTGTGATTCCCTCGGACGTGATCTTTCATGTCTCTTCTTAACTTAAGAATCGCTTTATCTTTCCAACGTTTCTCTCATTTAATTTTAAAAAATATTTTAACACAGTTAAAAAATAGAGAAACATTCAGAGCATTCGAATTTTCACAAGCTGCACGAACATTACATGACTTGTGTGGCCGAATACTGCCAGGCAAGCAGAATGCACGGAAAATTCAACCCTTGCAGTGTTCTAAATTTGCGTTGGAGTTTAGTCGTCACTACGCATTATGGCAAAAAATGTAGCCGTGGGGATCGAGTAACTAAATAGGGAGATTAGACATTTAGAAGGTAGCGTAGTACTTTCTGACTCTGAAGTGGAGAGAAATTACTTTCCGGAACAATTGACGGAGAAAGAAGACAGGTTGTCTGAGTTAGAGCATGAACGCCTTAGCGCTAGAACTTTTCCTATCTGTTCTCATTTAAACAGCATACTTGACCCACACAACATCACACCGCAGGCATATCACAGCCGCTCTTTTGTTGGCAATCACTACCACAAATACATCATGAGTTGGGTTTATAAAGACATCATTGCATTTATTGTAAAAGAAATAGAGATCTAGTAGAACACACTGACAGCCAAAACATACTACGGGGAGTCAAAAAGTAATGCAAGTTGTTCGTTATTTTGCACAATTTTGCATCAAAGTATATGAAATTCAGCTCACTAATACTTGCACATGTACTTTTGAACTCAAACTGTTAAAATTTAAGTTTCTTTGATTTTTGCCTGAATGACGTCACATCAAAATGGCTGCCCACTTGAGGGCCTGTCAGAATAAAAAAACTGTGATTGACTTCCTTTTTTTTTTAGAAGGAGAATACATCCGTAACATCCAAAAGAAACTTCAAAATGTTTACAAGGACCAAGCTCTAGATTTTGGCACTGTATATAGATGTGTTAGTAGTTTGAGCAATGAACCGGAGGAAAAGGAAGAGGTGCCCATGTGCTTGTTTGTTAGACAAGCATCTTCCCGAAGAATCAACTGAAAAATGCATGGCAACCGTGTTTTGGGACATTTTTAGACTGCATCTCAGAATTTTTTTATCAAGAGGAACAATTGTCAATTCTGAAGCCTACAATGAAACACTGAAACGACTGAAAGCGAGGATATGACAATTCAGACCATATTTGAACATGGAAAGAGTGTTTTTTACAAAGACAATACCCGCCTGCATACGAATACCAGAACAAGGGAGACAATCACCCCGTTTGAATGGAATGCACTGTGCGTGACACCCAGCTGATTCTCCAGATTTGGCACCTTCAGACTTTCATCTATTTGGTCCTCGAAAAAAATCACTGAGGGGTCAACACTATGGACACGATGGAGAAATCAAGACTGCTGTACCCCAAAGACTAACTTGCTCAGTTTTACAAAGGTGGCATAATAATATGTGGACTTAGTAAAAGGTCGACAGTGGCTATTGAACAAAATGGAGACTATGTTGAGATAAAAAAATCTGATCCTCAGATTTTTCTCTTCAATTTGAGGTATGATAGTTGCCAGTGCGTTCTTTTTTCTTTAAGTTATAAACGAACTTGCATTACTTTTTATTCTCCCTCGTAATTGACACCGCTTACACTCTGGGAGAAAAATTCTGTGAATTAAACAATGCATTAATTTTGGGGGCGTTCACATCCACATCTCCCACGGCCAACCAGTGTCAAAAGACAGACTACCACACATTGACACATGCATCAAAACTGACATGTCATTATACAGGAGGCACTTTAGTGAAAAGATACTTCTCAAACACCACAATTCTAGAAAACCACTGCATCCCGTGGATACAAACATAAATATGGGTTTGGTTTGGCCTTACATGGGGAACAGGATGGTGAACGTATTCATGCCACGTCATACTGAATTAAAAATGTATTGAGTCCAAAGGAGGGCATGTAGAACATTGCTTCTAGGAATTCCAGAATGAAATCGTTAGTTTTTAAACTCTATGAAAGAAAACAAATACTATTTAAATGTTACAGGGATTGAAAATTAAATGTCAAAGAGAAAATACAGGAAAAAAGTCAACAAAATATTTCACGACTTCCTTAAAATTGTTTTTACAATGGGGAACTTTTCGTTTTGGGGTGCCTTTTTCTCGTAGCCATTTCCGTTTTCAAAATAAGTTCCTTCTTAGTGGATTGTATGTCAAACAAATTCCTTTTCAGTGAATTATGTCTGTTCCAAATTACAGCGTTCTAGAACATTTTTTGTGCGAGACATTCAGAAAAAAAGTTGTACAGTTGTTGGTTTTTTTAAATCACCCAGTTTTTCCTGTATTGCCACTTTTCAAACTCGTTCTTTATCTCACGTTGATGATCTTTTCAAATAAGCCACCCTTTGCCCCTGACACAGTGTGCACTCAAAAATAAAGCGCATGCGACGAAGTGTTGGGCGGGCACATGGTAAACTACTCCAAAAAGCGTTCAACGTCTTGTCTGCATCATGTACGATTGCTGACATAGACTGATATGAAAGCAAACAAGAATGAGAATAGATATAGTCTACAAGCCTTGAAAAACCCAGAACCAGCATTTGAGATACATAATATTACGAATACGGTGATATGTTATCCTTGCAGAATTAGTCATGGCCTCACGCGACTCCTTGCAATTTTAATGTTTGAAAATTCATTTATTATTTCTTTGCTTGGTTTATGTCCTCACATGCTTTTGAATTCTACAATCATTGAAGGTGAGTGTCTTCGTCCATAGCGCAGGTAAGTACAAATTGGGTTCGTAGTGAATATTGAGATATAATTAGTATACTGGGTCAACTTGAAACAATAAATTTGTTTTGTTTGTACTTATTTATGAACTTTCTTTGGGAGTAAAGAAAACCTCGCAATTTCACTTAAGGCTAAATCGTAAAAAGCGAATATTCCTAACGCTAAGGCGTTGTTGTGAACTCAGCCATCGACCCCGTCGGTAAATATTCATGTACATGTAAAATAAACAATATTATTCGATGTTGGGGTTTTCGTTGCCTGTTTGTCAATACAATGTGTGCTGTATTATCTCAATTGATCTAATAAGCAATCGACACAAGACTGTGGCTATTTGGTTCATAGATGTAATCTTTGTCCAAAAAATACGATAGGCCAGCATACAGTGTGTAGACTAAAATATGTTGTGTGCGGCAAGAAGAAAAACTGAAGCTCTGAATCAAAGTAGTTTACTGAATAAACAATGGCTTTGTCTGGTACGACTCTATACTTAAGATAAAAAGGACGGGAAAGAGACTGAAACAGCAATAACTACAACTACAACATCAAATGTGTACACGAAACAATAGAAATATTATAGATTTACGAGAGGCTTTCAGTTGGTCATTACCCTTGCTTTGAAATAAGAAAGAGAGACAGTTTAACTTTGACACTCACTATGAAACTTCTACACAGACACACTATTTAATTGGTACACTTTTGCCATCCTTGTTTAAGGCTCAGAAGTCTTCTTAATGATCTAGAACGGGAATCAAAGCATTCCATTTTTGTGGATTCAGCAATTTCATTTTTAATTTTTTTTGGAAACGCTGCCCTTTGAGAACTCTTTTTCTGATTTGAGGAAAGAAAAACTAGAAGGTGTGGGAGAGTTTCATAGCCTTGAATCTGTGAGATCTGGGCTGTCTTCACCACTTTTTGTACTACAGCGTTGCTGTGCAGCAGGATCCCTAAGCATTTAGAAAATATTGGATTTTCATAAAAATGCGCGCGCGGTGTTCTAAAAAAGACTGTGGCGACTAACCTGTGGTTTATAATTCGCTGTGATTACAAGACAAGCCAGAATCACGTGAAATAAGTAAACAAACTCAGTGTAGCCTAGTGAGTGTAGGAGAATAAGGGAGCACGTGGGGGTATATAAACAGACGGCGAAGGTTAAACTGGCCTTCCGAGCCACGACTAGCCTAAAAAAAAAAAGGGATCGACGCTACTGGTGGGTCGACACAGTGGATGGAGCTCCGGACCTGTACGACTTACACTCATCGTTCCCCGCCCGAAACAGTGAGTATTTGAAACCAACGTAGATAGACTAACGAGTAGAATCTAGGATTAGATAGCACTTATATCATCTCATCACATTAAGACCAAATTGTTAAGGTGTGATGTTATGTGTAGGTACGTCGAACTTGAGTTCGAGTAACAGTTCAGTGAAAGTGTCCAAGCTGTTCGGGTGGAAAGTACGAAAGTTATGTCTCGTCCTGCAATGACTTACATGTGTGTGTATCTCTTCAAGGTAGACCTTTAAATTCTTTTAGTTTTATAGCTGAGCGACAGTTCCTTCATAGTCCATTAAGTTAAACGTCTCTCGTACGTGAGTGAAAGGTAAATGTAGTTACCAGTTTTCTCTCTAGATCTAGTTGAAACCGCCTCTTAAATGACCTAATAGGGTTGATAGGGGCGTTAAACTCATACCATTTCTTTTGTTGAAACAGATCTCGCCGTTTTTTGTTGTTGTTGTTGTTGTTGTTGTTTTTTTTTTGTTTTTTTTGTTTGTTGTTTCTTTCTTGGAGGGGGTTGTTTTTTGTGTTTTTCTTGTTTTTATTTACTTTTTCGTGGTTAAGCATTTACAGTAAGATTCGGGCTCAGGCCTTATTGTCTGATGAATATCATAACTCATCCATTCCAAGTAGTATCTTTTAAGTCATTCTCATGTGGGGTTTACTATGTAAATAAAGAACTTTATGAGGATGCCTGAGTCACTCCAAATACACCCCCTATTTTCTCTCATATTTAAAAAAAAGTGGGAAAATTTTCTCCCCTAAGGTTTAATATCGATACTATTCAACCGTACACTTAATTTGAACCTAAAAATTTATGTTAACCTAAACTCATGACTTTTCAAAATAGGAATCCACTTAGCTATAAAAGGTGCCTTAGTCACCTCGGTTTACCGGTAGTCACTGACGCAAATCTGTGCATTTGTAATACTGTTTGGTAATTGGAAGAGAGCACTTATGACAACGGTTGTGAATCATTATCATCCAGTGCCAGATCTGCAACAGACATCGGCGACCATGGTTCTCCATTCATTCCTTTGCTCCGATGCTCTAAACCAAGCTATGTTTCCCTGATCTTTCCCTGTTACCCATTTATTATTTAGGTTCCCCAATATGTTGTTCTGGGCTTTCCCCTGCCTCGCTTGCCCTCAATTTTGTCAGTGAGAGCTAGGTTTTCAAGACCCTTATATCTATATGCGTCCCAAAAACTGCATTTGTTGTTTCCTTATTGTTTTTAACTTTGAGCGTCCCACGTTGGCTTCATCAAGCACTACCTCATTTGATTTTTCCTTCCACGATACTCTTAGCAGTCTCCTAAGAAACCACATTTATGTTGCTTCTATTCTATTTTCACTGTCTTTAGTGATTGTCCAGCATTCACAGCCATATAGGATTGACCAAACATAGCAGTTCAGAACTTTCTTTTTGGTGTTCATTGAGATGTTTCTATTTTTCAAGATCCGGTTCATTTTTATTGAAACTAGCCTTAGCCATTGTAATTCTGTCTTATTTCTGGAACATTTGGCATCAGATGTTATCACATATCCTAGATATTTAAACTGTTGGACTAGTTTAATCTGTTCACCTTTGCTAATGAGATTACAACCAGGCTTTGCTGCGTATTTGGATATTACTATGCATTGTTTTCTTTACATTCAACAATAATCATTTACGTTCACTTTCTGTTACTACAGTATCTAGAAGCAATTGGTCCTTTTCTGAGTCTGCTATCAAAACTGTGTCATCGGCATATCTGATGTTATTAATCTTTTCTCCATTTACTTTGAGACCTGGACATTTTTCTATTTTTCTAAGGATTGTTTTCACTGTACATGTTAAAGAGGTGTGGTGACATAACACACCCTTGCCTCACTCCTCGCCTAATCTGCTTATATTCACTGTATTCTGTATTGTGAATAAGTATGAATATTTCCTTCCTTTGTTCCCCTTTTTTAAGACACAGAATTCCTCTTGTCCTCTGTTGCGAAATGACGACCAAAGCGGTGATCCGGCAGGCACGTATGTCAGATTACTCCGCCGTTGTGGATGGAATTGGGGATGTTTACTGGGGCAGGGACTACTTGCCTACAAAATACGCAGAGTTTATCCAAGACGCGGACTTCCTCTCTTTTGTGGCCGAGGTTGACGGAGAAGTGGTCAGTTTATTGTATTTTCCATTTTTTTTTAGAAAAGGGAAAAGCCCAGTATGAATGCTATCTATTATTATTATCATTATTAATAATAATTATTATTATTAAATAGATCGCAGTACTCAGGCATTACCAAAATAACTACCAGTAAAACAATAAAACGAAGCAACAACACAAAAACAGTATGCTGGTGGTTTTTAAGGATAACAGACAAGGAAGTTTCCGAGAGGAAGAGACTGGTGGTGTTGAGCAGATTAACATGTGCTAGCCGTTTACATGCTCTTACTTCGACGGGTGGGTGGTTGGCGGGTGCGCTGGTGTGGTTTGTTTCTTCTTTCCTATCAAACATCTATCGTCCTTTTCTCCCTTTCTTCTTTTTTATGTTTGTTAATCTCTTGTAACACCTCTAATCTTCTGGCGCTCTTATAACCCTATGCAGTTGCGAGCGCCGTAAAACTTCTACTAAAATAAAACTGACTTCGACATCATCACCGTTGTGTGTGTGTGTGTGTGTGTGTGTGTGTGTGTGTGTGTGTGTGAATA